CTCTCTCTCTTTTCTTTCTTTCTTTCTTTCTTTCTTTCTTTCTTTCTTTCTTTCTTTCTTTCTTTCTTTCTTTCTTTCTTTCTTTCTTTCTTTCTTTTCTTTTTTCCTTCTTTCCTTCCTTCTTTCTTTTCTCTCTTTCTTTTCTTCTTTTCTTTCTTTCTCTTTCTTTCTTAAAAAAAAGGTTCAGCCAGAAATCAGCATGGCTACTTCACAAAGAATTTCTAGTATCAGGGAAAAACTGTGTGCACTTGTGCTCATGTGCACATGTGTGATAAAAGTTTCTCCTTCTCTGAAGGGAAAGGAAAGTGCTAGGCAGCTTGTGATTAGCAGCATTCTTTGTGCTTTTTTGTTGTTCCTCTGCTGTGTCACAGTTCTACGTTGTTTGCCTTAGAAATGTAATTTTTAAAAACCATTTTAAAAATGAATGGTGATTCAGCTGGCTGGAAAAAAGCACACTGTCAGGGGACTATATTTGAAGTCAGTCTAGACTGGGCTGGACTAGAAACCCGCCTGGACCCAGGAGGCCCCACAGGACCCAGGAGGTCCCTGCGGGAAGGCAGAGGTTCAGGTAAGAGTAGCTCACCTCTGAGCTGGTGAAGTGAGGACTTGCTGGTGATGTGACCCGGAGATCTGCTGCTGGCTTCTGGAGACAGGGCCTTGGTCTGACTTCTCAGGTTGATTGAGGCCTCCCGACTAGCGGTGTTCCCAGGCTAGAGGTGATTGGCTGCAACAAAGATGCTTCTAGTATTCTATTAGCAGTGCCTTTGGGACCCTGGGATTTTGCTGTCTCTAGAAATGTGTTTTTTATTTTTTTATTTTTTATTTCCCCCTTTTTTCCTGGCGTTGCTCCAGGGTTTATGTATTTGCCTGTTTATTGTCCTGCTCTCTTTTTTTGGATGAAAACTCCAGCCTTTCCTGACTCACCTCCATCTTCAGGTTCTTCAGTTTTCTGAGAAGAGTGGGGATATGTGGGAAGGGGCATGGGAGCTCGGCAGCCTCCACCTGCCAGGAAGGCAGTCTGGCCTCTGCAGGAAAGAGCAGAGCCCGTGGGAAGCCCTGGGTGGGGATGGCGCAGCCGGCCCACCACGCATGGCATTGCCAGCCACGGGGGGCCTGCGTGTAGTCTCTGCTCCCTGCATTTCACCTTCTTTGTTGACTTTCCTTCTCTGTTTTCCCCCATCTGTTTGCCAGAGGGGTGGGACTGGCAACAGACCAGCCGTGGCTGCTTTATCTCTCCTCTCCACGGTGTACTCAGGCCTGAGTGGTGACTCACGGGAGCCCAGCCACCTCGCAGCTGTTCGCCCCCTCAACCTTTGAACTGGAACTGCTGGCTCATACAGGGTTTTCGACCACTGCAGCTGAACCTCATGGAAAAGCTGGATTCCTCTGCCTTACGCGGAAATACCCGGGCTCCATTTGCCAGGTGCTCGCCACTGGTCCTGGTAGAAGTGGCAGCTGCTGAGAGTGACCTTCCAAATCCTTGGTGGCACTTCAGCACTACAGGCTCTCCAATAAAAACCCTTTAGACACAAACCCTGTGTACCTTGGGCTTGGATGTTTTCTGTGGTGCAGGCCAGCGAGGCGCCTTTTGTGAAGACAGATGTGGGCCCAAGGCTGAGGAGGAGGGCGGGGATGGAAGCTGGGTGGGAGGTATTTGGATCCTGGTGATTTAGAGAAAAGCTTGGAAATGAAAAAGGCTTGGGGGTGGAGGGGCGTGCATGCTGTTTTTACGTCTACATACACAATTTACATTTACATATACAATTGGAGGCTCACTTGCTCATTTCCTGGAAGCTTGCTCCTTGGCTAGGAAATACTGAGCCCTAATTGTTTCCAGAGAATCTTGGGGCATCTCCAGAGAAGAATCAATCACATAAAAAACTGCTAGCTTGTAACTGCCTCATACCTGGCTTGCTTTACTCTATGAGTAAGTGTGGAATGTATCTGGGCTGGGTGCACAGCGAGGTGAGCAAAAGCCAGAGGAAAAGCCCATTTGCTGCTGTTCCAACTGGTTCCCTTGGAGGTCACCAAGAAGCTGGGAGTGTGATCTGTGTCCCTCCTCCGCGAGGAGCTACTCCTGTGCTCGGTCTTCTCTACAACCGCAGCGGTGACTAAGGTTCTCCAGGGTAGCTCTTTCTTCAAATAGCTGCATGGGAAGCCAGCCCAGGAGAGTGGGTTTCCCCACCATCTCAATCTTCTCAGAGAGTGTCCTCCACTGAGTACCCATCCTGTCAGGTTGGCTTGTTCAGACGCCCGGGGACAAGCCAGCCTGACGGTAAGGAGGGTGTTTCAGCGTCTGCAGCGGTCTCTGCATGGCGGAGGTCGGCTGGTACTGCAATTTGCCTTTTGGTTTTGAAGATTCTGTTGAGGCTCCATCCTCACCTTGACCTCTTCTATAAAATCTGTTTCCCCTGCTGTGCCGTGGAACACCTGCGGGAAGCCAGTAAGTTAAAGTCCTAACATCAAAGCCTCTCCCTCTACTGCCTGCATCTCCTGTTATGAAAGCCTGAATTGTATGGTTATTCTTACACCATGTGGGGATGGGAGATGCTTTATAAGGACATGGCACATTAGCCTCAAAGGGCCCTTGATGCAGTGGTAAGTTTGTGTCCCGTGCTTGCCCCCTTTGATGAAATTCTTGGGTGCTGGTATCATTTTAAGGGAATCAGGGGAAATTACCCAGAAGAGCAGGGTCTGTAGGAGAAGAGGGGTAGGCATCAGTGACCCAAACTTGCTGGTGAGATTTGGCAGCTGAAGCCATTTAAAGAGATTGGCAGCTGGGCATGGTGGCTTATGCCTGTAATCCACCACTTTGGGAAGCGGGTGGATCATCTGAGGTCAGGAGTTCAAGACCAGCCTGGCCAACATGGCGAAACCCCGTCTCTACTAAAAATATAAAAATTAGCCTGGTGTGGTGGCAGGTGCCTGTAATCCCAGCTGCTCGGGGAACTGAGGCAGAAGAATCAGCTGAACCTGGGAGGCAAAGGTTGCAGTGAGCTGAGATCACGCCACTGCATTCCACCCTGGACAACAAGAGCAAAACTCTGTCTCAAAAAAAAGAAAAAAAAAAGAGTTTGGCACCTTGGTGTTGCCAGTTGCTGAAGAGGGGAGAGGAGGGTTATGTTACAAGCGTCACCAACAAAGAGCATTGTGACTCATCAGAGGGGAGAGCAATAGTAAAGACTTTGGGGATGATGCTGGGCTGCCTCCCCAGCCACCCACCTTCCCTGCACGCACTTCTTGTAGCAGCATCATGAGTTTGCAGGTCCAGATGTTGCTTGTATTGTAACCACAGCGCCCTGTGCCCGCCTGTGCCTCCTGTATTTGGGTTAGATATTTTCTTATGCAAATAAATGATTTAATCTTTTCAGGGTGAGGAGCGAGCCCTGGGGACCTGGAAGGTGTTCACTCCAACACCACTAGTTCAGGAAAAGGGTCTGCCCCATAAGGCCCCAGGCTGTTCCTAATGACAGGTGCAAGCCGGTGCTTCCCTCCAGCCCGGTGGTGCCACAATTGCTTGTGGTTTTTATTTATCAGAGAATTCAAGAACACCTGATGTGGACTCAGTGTACACAACATACCACTTGTGAAAACCGAGTTTGTTTTCCATTATTTTCGAGAACTAAATAGAAGTGACTGTTCGGGTGGCTGTCGTGAGCTACTCCCTGCCTTGCTACCTGAGTCTTCTAGGGTCCAACAAGTACTTGGGTGTGACTTTCCTTGTAAAGTGCCTCAAAGTTTGCTGGTATTTCTTATTATGCTTAGTTGGTTTATCAGCAAGCTCATTTTCCCTGGGATGGGTTTTTTGATGAGCCGAGTTGATGTGGACGGGAACACAGGAGCTCTTGTGTATCTGTTGGCAAAGCAGGTGGCCCACTATCTCTAGTATAAATGTCTCAATGGCTGATCTGGCCTGGGTGCTGTGAACAGGCTTCTTATTGTGAGCAGGTAAGAGTGTTGTGAATGAATTATCCCCAGAGTCTGCAAGACAGCCAGTCAGGTGGTGCTGAGTGTGGTGGGAAGAGGAATTGGGTGCAGACAGACAGGCATGTGTTTCCGGCCTCACTGTTCACTCACGAACCCTGTGATCTTGGCCCCACTTTTTCCATCTGCACTATAGGAACACACCTCTTTGGTTATTGTGATCATTAAAATATGTAATTTAGCCAAATATCTGCAGGTGCCTGGCACCACCGGCACCACCAGGAATGGTCGTCACCAGCACCACCACCTCTACCATGAATAGTTTTTGAGTTCTTCCTGGGTGCCAGGTGCCTTTGCACACACACTTATTCAGTCCTTAACAGCATCCTTTAGGTAAGTATTATTCCTGGAACAGACTGACCATTTCCATAGGCCCAGGGCTGTTTCCCCTGAATCATATTCACCTCCCTGGCTATCCATAAGAAAACATTGATTTGCTTGGCACTTTGTCATCCTTTGAGTCCTGCCAACAGGGTGGTGAGGTAGGTGTTTGTCTTCATTTTGTACACACAAGACTGGAAAGGTCAGTCACAGCACAGGATCACATGGTTTCTAAGGGGTAGGTCTCAAACCACCAGTCTCCTGCCCTCTTCAGTATTTTTCCCTGAAGGGAAGAGGAGGGGACTTTTCTTTTGAGACCAAAACAGCTCACACTTGGGATAGCATAAGACATCAGCTCTGGGCCAAAGAGACAAGGTCATATGTTCCAAGAGGCTCCCACTCTGGCTGCAGCTCCCCAATGGGGA